TACATAAACCATTATTTACTAAATCTAGAACTGAACCCTTTTTTTCTGTTACTGTAAAAAGTTAAAAAAAATTAATTTTTAAAACCTTAGCTGAGATTTTAAAAACCTTACAGACTTCATGCTTGTTCGTAATAATAGAGTAGTGTGCATTACTGCGAAATTCCGGTGAAATGAGACTATTGATATGCTTGTATCTATGTATATAATGTATTCAAGTCTTATCGTTTACACCAGTATGACAAACCAAATGGCCCATTTCTCGAAGATTACGTTTTGGCCACCACGTCGAGGTAAGTTGCACAATGGCATCTATATTGCTCACAAGATTTTTGTGGGGATAGCCAGTTTATTATGTCTCTGGGTATATATGACTATTGTTTGGAATTAATTGTACTTTGTATTTGCCTATTACAATAATTTAAATACTACGTACCACCTTCCTCTAAACAAGTAATCTTCAATTAAATAATTATTCAATCAAATATTATTGAGAAAAGTTAACAAAATAAATTTAAATTGAAAAATAATGTCATCCTGCGTCTTAATAAAAATACTTTGTAAGGGTGCTTTCAAAATATAAAAAAAAAATAGTAAATCAGCTTCGACTGATTACGCATTCCCTATCCCAATTGAAGTATTAAAAATGTATGAATATTATAAAAAATGTATAAATTATAAAGAAAACGCTTGGTAAAATAGTCTTGTAACTATAGCAGTGAACCATATGAAGATTTCAAGTACACAATAATTTATAATATTATGATATATTATTGTATATAATCATTGCTTCGTTTATTTTATTTATAACTATATAAATCTGTAAGAATAAAGTTGAACACTTGGAAAATTAATCATAAAAAATATTTTCGACCATGAATTGGATAGGTGAAAAATGTATGATATCTAATATCTATCTTTGTTTAAGTAATACCCAACATTTTTGCGAATATCATAAATATCATAATACAATTCAGAAGTGGTAATAAACCTGAGTAGGTAGGTTTACTCCAGTAAAAGCAATATATTCAAGTATATTTAAGCCTTTAGGTAGTAATGAAATAGACTGTAAGGACTTATCCGTTGTAGCAATAAGTGTAATTCTATTGCAGTGTATTACACGTGTTCAGTGTTATGATTTACGAGAAATATCGTTTTCGTCCCTATGTATAAATAAATCTGCATCACGGATTCGCGTTTATTAGACCCAAGAGTTTTTTTCCTGAAGACACTTTTTCTGATAGTAAAAATATCTCATAACTTTTAATGCGGTACCTACGCTGAAATGCAGCACTACTACTACACTTCAAACAGATCACAATATTATATTACACGAGCCTTGTAGTTTTGAGAAAATTGAAAAAAAAGTGTAAACAAATAAATACTCAAGTCGTAGTTTGTATAAAAAATTGATTTTTGAAGTTCAATGATTTAACGTTGCTTCTAAATCTAAACATACCCGCATGAATACTACACCTATGTGTTCAACTCCTGTATCATACATTATTATTTTGTGTAATATATTTATATATATACATATATTTCAGTGCAATTTCACACTGGTATTATATTTAATGGTTTTAATCATAAAGTTCTATAGATAATTTAAGGTACCTATAGCTTTAAAGTACCTAATAACCGTAATAATCGCGTGTTAGTATTATCGGGCGTGTAATACGGGGAACGATCATTTGTTATCACGATTCATGACACGTATAAGTTATTATACATTTTATGTATAAATATTATAACATGCACTGTTCATGTGTTAATTTAAAAAACTTCCATTTATTGTGGTCCTCTAACTTGACTTCCGACGAACGGGTTTTCACATATCCACTCATTACAGCGGTATCGTGTTATTTTCGAGTCAAAAATTCATTTAAGGAGGGATCTCGTTTTCCCATCATTCTTTGTTATTAAAAAAAATTATTTTTCTTATTTCTTCACAAATTTTTCTAGATAAGAAATATATTTATATTATTCCAAATATTTAAATCATTTGCGATACTTATACCCATTCGTTTTTTAAATAATAAAATTATTATTTATCTTATTTTTGTAAATTAATGTTAAATATGAAATTATAATATATAGTATTTCATTTATATTCTTATACATAAATATTTAACATAGAGTGATCGTTCTAAGTAAATAAAAAAACAGGACTATTGTTACTCCCCCTCCAAATAAACCTTCCTATGTACATACGCACACACAACTGTAGAGTATAAAAGTCCAAATCTATATCATATTATAAACAATTATTGTTCTCTTATTAATTTAACCTTTTTTAGTTAACTAATCTAACCTAAATAATTGAAATGTTCAAATGTTTAGGAATATATTTTTTTTTATTATCATTAAACAACAAAATATTGGATTTCAAAACTAATATATTTATTCTTAACAAAAACTAGAAAAATTACATCATTATTATTAACTTTCCACTTTTCTTCATATTTTTCTGAAAAACTTATTGAATTTAACAATTTTAGGTGCTTTAAAAAAATTCATAAAACTGTGAAATTAAATTTTTTAAATGCTTTTTTTTGCGATAATTATTGATTTAATGGTACGATATTAAAACGGGTTTTTTATATTTGTTCACAGTGCATTTATTATTGACAATATTTTTCCTACAGATGCATTTGTTGCAAAAATAACCAATAATTCAAAAACTGTTGAGACATTTTTGACGGAAATGCTTTTTGTTTCTAGCGTTTTAAATATATTACACCATTTTTCTGTCTCGTGCTTATCGTTAGTTTAATCGTTAATTGTTCATAGGCATCAGCTCTCGATCCTCGTTTCACGAAAACTTTTATCTGTTATTTATAACTTTAGTTATAAAACTGTTTATGATTTGTTTCATACATTAATTTATTTTTAAAATACAATGTTATAATATGGTCAATATACGAAAAAAATAGGATTAAAATGAGACCACCTTCTAAAAACGGGATGAAAAATGTTCCGTTTTAAATTTTTTGTGACAGCGGAACATAATGATTTAAAAAGGGCTAATTTCATTTTAAACGAGACATCTGGTTACCCCTAATTTAATACAACACTTGTAATTTTAATAATTTATTGGTATTAAGAAAATTACGATATTTATTGTTGTAAAATTGTTATTTAATTTTTTCAATTAGATGTTATTTTATTTCCAAATCATTACAAAAATTAATATTTCATTAAGTTGTATCATAATTATTTTAAATTTTAATTTGATATTTATTTATATATACAAAATACAAATAATGCATATATTATATGTATTTATAATTATATATAACAATAGTTTTGGTAGGAAAATGATAGATACCGACTATTCAAATTAATAAGAGAGTGGAATTTTTCATTTTGATAATGGAGTAAAATGTTAAATGGAGAAAAATAGTCTATATTTATTTTTTTTTGATTTAATCATTTTTTTAAAAATAAAACAAAAAGTTAGTGGAATATTGTGGTATCAAATATTGAAAGTGATGGCCATTTATTTATGTATTACCCAATGGTCTAATATTATCATATAGTATTTGAAATTATTGACTTTCAATAATCAAGGATAATATATTATGGTAATCGAACATAATGGACATCGGTTAATAATTGTCCAAATTATTGGTCCCCACGCAAAATCGTTGTAGGTATACTTACAATTGGCGCCTGTCATAATTTTACACAAACAGAAAATGTTTGCCGAGGACAATTTTTTTTTAAATATATTATATATTTTATTGAAAATTTCCAATAGAGACTAAAATTTATAATCAGAATAAGGATAAAATATGAGTTTTAATCGATTTTAAGTTTAAAAAAAACTAATTTTTATTTATTAGTAATAAGTTATTATTATAACAATAATAACTGATAAATAAACAATAATGATAATTTTAAGTTATAACAATTTATTTTTTATAATTATAGGATGTTTTGGTTACAAACAAATACTTTTTAAAAAGAAAAAAAATATTAGACAGCAGGTGAATAGAAATTTCACCGTTCAAATCGTGGATTCAAGACTAGAATGAAATCGACAACTGATAAAACGCATATATTGTGATTCTAGTCTCTTACTCTTGCTTTACAATTCGATACACAACACACTATAACACTGGTTTATTATAATTTTTAGTCCAAAAAAAATTTTAGAGGAAAATAGAAACTAATATTTTTATTTTTTTTTATGGTGGAAAATGAACAACGGGAAAAAATTAACTTGCTGGTCAATTATTCAATTATCCACATACATTTTTTCACGGTGACCAATATTGTTCTAAAACCGTTTATTATTGTAATAAATAATAATAACATAACATTTACTGTATGACCCTGGGTAGTGCGATGAAATCTCGCGGTACTATATTTAAAGGAACACGGAAATAGTCTTGAAAAAGTATTGAATGGGGAAGGAGGGAGGTTAAGGTTTAGGTATATATATATATACCAGGGATGGACAACTGAAAATCGTAGCGGGTCAGAACTTAGAAAGCAAAAAGGTCATTCAAAATATTGAAAACTATTTTATTCGCATAACGTAAAAGTATTCGAACTTCATCACTACACTAACCACAGTCTTTTCGTTTTGATCGCTAATTTACTGAATAATTGAAAACATTAAAATAATTAAATAAAAACCAATGGGAAGGTTACAAACCCCCCCCCTCGGTCACGCCACTGCATACGGCTGAGGGCGTACGTGTCTGCGAAACGTATCGTTCGCGCGCGGATTGATCGTACCGGCACGTCGGCCGTCGACTGCGTACTTTAATTCGGTCAACCGTTCGCGGTATTCGTCGCGATCGCGGTTACCGTCTTACCCGACCGCTACGATTCGCGGTAAGTCTCGTATATCATACCGGAGGCGTTGAATCGGCGTTAACGCAGGTTGCACATGCAGCCGGCGCTGGTAACCCGCAGATACCAATCGTCGTTATATTATATTGTGTTATGATATAATAATAAAACGCAAACACGACGTTGCGCAAGACGCTCACCTGGGTATGGTGGACAGGCTGAGCGACGACCGGCTGGACAGCGGCTCGTACCGGCCGGTGGCGCTCAGCCAGACGGCCACGTCGCCGTCGTCGTTCAGCGAGTTACTGGACGACCGGCACTCGTACGGCTGCCACAAAGTGACGATATGGCCCCGTTCGTTGCTCGTGAACGTCCTGCTCCGGGTCAGGCTCGACACGCCGCCGGCCGCGCCGCCGCCGCACGTCCACGTCCGCGGCCTGCGCCTCTGCGGCCCGTTCCCGAATCCAAGACGGCGGCGGGCAGCGCGCACTCTGACGACCACGGCGGTGGCACGTCCTGGAGCTGGTTCGTGTCGCCGCCGGTTATCGTGTACACCGCCGTGGCGTCCACCGGCCGCTTCCTTGTCTTGTAATTGACGGCTGCGTCCCGTCCACCGACGCCGCCGCCGCCGCCGTCGCCGGCCCCGCTTTCCGGCTGTTCTTCTCCACCTTCGCCGACGATCATCGTCCGTCCCGCGGCGATACGACGACACTTTTGTTAGTTTTGTTGTTGGTGTTGATGTTGTTGCTTTGGCGCGTACCGCTCTCTGTTGTGACGTTTTTGCCTACAAGCAAAAAAGTACATAAGAAAAATCAGTGACAGTCAAATGATTTTGTCTTGGGTAGGGATGAGGATGTCTTTTAACACGAGCACTTTGATCATTAAAATATTATTTCAAGATTATAATATAGATACATTTATAAATTAAAAAAATTAATTAATTAATGACATTAATAATTAAGCTAATCATTTTTTTTTGTTTTTTGTTTTTTGTTTTGTCAGCTTATGTAATACTTGTTTTTATTTCAGTAATAAATAAAATACATGTTAAATAAACATTGTAGCCTAGCCATATAGATGATTTTAGAATAATACGATTATTAAGCAAATTATTAAAACTAAAATTTTAAATTAAAATTTCGAACATATTTTTGTTATTTTTTTTTTTTACTGCGAAAATATCCAATTTAAATAAAATACAAAGTTTCCAAAACATAACACTGAGAAAAATTATAAAATCCCCTTAATACGTATGAAATCACCAAAATAAGAAGCAAAAAGTTATTACAAACGTTTCCACTTACGCTTAAACTCTAATCCAAATCCACTCATAAGGAATTTAGCTACAATACATATCACCGGAAACCCTCCTTGTCGCTTTAAGCGAAAATGGTGCAGAGACCTACTATATAACAATCCGTAGGCCAGGAAAGAAACTTTCCAAATTAAATCTTATGAGACTAGGTATTACAGTATTATTTCAATAATAATCAATGTTATAAATTATAAATTATGTATTTTTTTCTTTTTATCAAATTAAACTAATTAATTTTCATGTTAAGGCAACGCCACAAATGGGTGTCTTCTGCTGTTATGTGTATCAATATTATATTTTCACTCTTAGCATAAACTTTTATCATGAAACTATATATAAAAATTGTGTTAATTTCTTTAAAGAAAAAAATATATTTTTCATTTGACTATAACAAAAATGAGAAACAACCTAAAATGTTATAAAGTTATACTTAGTTTAAATGTTTTATATTTGAACTATTAATTTAATACTAATTTTATTCATACAAATATTTTATTTTTGCCTAAAGCACATTAGTGTAGTTAAAGGAAAGTTTTGAGTGTTGAAACATCAATCAAACGGCTGTATTTATGGAAAAAATATCTATATTTATTATATAATTCACTTTTCTACGAAATATGTTATCATATGGTCAATGTTGTACTTGTGGGGAGGTTTAGGGATCCGGACAGGGATCTCTCTATAAAATTCCTTAAATATTTAATAAATGTTTATAATAGGTAACTATGTTTTTTTAATACTCACATAAATATTTTCAGTTATAAATGGCTAAAACTTCAATTTATTAAATTTACTATCTACTGTTTCATATCATATCCATATAAAATATTATGGTATTAATAATTGATTGTTATTGATTGACAACAACCTTTATCTATGCTGGTCGACGACTATTAACAACATTTATACAACATTTGTGTAAATTCAAAATATTATCATAATAATTTACTTTCGTTCAGCAGACTATGACAAAAACGTCGAATTTTTTTATTAAATAAAGTGTAAGATGATAAGATGTCAAAGGAATTTTGTTTATTTGATCATATATTTTAAATTTTAATAAAATAAGATTAAATCTTTTTTGTTTTATTTTCAACTAAATGTCAAAACATAAATTCAGTAAATATTTAATATACATAATACAGATTATGAACCCCTTCCCACTGGAAAAATTTCTGAATACATCCTTGCAAATGGTTCTATTTCATATTTCATATTATTAATATGAAGAGTATGTAAAACCAGGCTCAACTAGAATTTACAGTATTTTTAATTAAAATAAAAATATTTATGTCATTAAAATTAGTGACCTCCTATAGAGTACGCCTCAAATCTCTCTCTATACATAGACTTAAAAATCTATAAAGTTTCTATCACAGCTAAAAACTATTATTAAAAATTCCACACCAAATTAATTAACCACATGAATCTACTAGCGCCTACTTTACCCATTAAATAAATTCCTGAAAATCTTTCATTTAGATTAAAAAGATACTGGTATTGAACTCTCAAATGCTGATCTCTATTAAATAAATCGAAAATTCTTCCTGAATTGATGACCTAATCATAAGTTTGCACAGATTTATAACTAAGCATGAATTGATGGAACCGTTGGAAGTAATAAATATTATAATGAAGACTTCTACGTGCGAAATGAAATGCGATTAGGTAAAAATAGGCACAATGAACTACTGATTTTGGTCAACTATTTTATTCTCCTATAATGAATATATTATTAATTGGGTGCACTAAGTAAGAAATGGTTAGTCATGGGTATCTCAACACAATATACACATAAAATAATAACGATTACGGCAATATAATTATGGCCAACTAATAAAATATATACATATGTATAATCAGACGGATACCGTAAGGTTAGGTTTAGACTAGAATATGGTTGTTCAACTATTAAAATACTTGTTTATTCCCAGAATATTATAGATCCGTAACTCCATTGCATCGTGTTATATTATGCATATCAATCTTTGTAGCCATGTAGGTATGTACGTAATATATATGCATGTATGTAATATGTATATTTAAAGTCAACGGTATGGAATCGAGACTGTTATTATTATCCGTGATTATTTATAGATCACGATTTACTGTATCACAAAAAATCATATTTTTTTTTAAAGATTTTTCGTTCTTTTTCAGTATAAGTACCTACTAAAAAGTATAGAAAATGTGATGAATAAACCTTTTTTTTTCGTATAAGGGATAAGATGATTGTACAATCGTTCATATATTATGCATACAAGTCACCACTAGATAAAAGCTGAAAGTTTAAATAAATCTACGCGCAATGAATACAATTTGTAAGTTTGTTGATTAAAACATATTGACTTAAACAACAAGCTTATTATGTGAAAGTACGCAGTATTATAATACTTTATATTATTGATCTTAATATATTTTTTCCCCTTAAATGAAATTTTAAGTATAAAATTATAATAATATTTCGATAAATATTAATTATATTTTACATTGTAATATTAGTCAGGCAGGAAAAAAAACATCATAAGGCTTTCACTCTTATACATTTTTAAACCCGATTCTTGTATAAACTTAAGTAGATATACCTTAATGATAATTATATCGTCGACTAAAATAGCAAAATCGAGGAAATTGTTAATCTCAAGAGATAAAAAAAGAACTTAAATTTATTTCTTTGTTGACAGAGTGATGGACAGTTAATTAGTAAATATTGAGATTCACAGTATGATGTTTTATATTTTATAATTACTACAACATTAATTGTAATTAATAGTTTTATTCTAAAAAAATTATATATTAAAATTATTTAATTTTTTTATAGTCTCATTATGTTTTGTTTCTGGTGCACTTTAAACATGTTTTATAACGAACTTATGAATATTTAAACATTTAATATTTCATGTACAAATTTTTATCTATTTAATCTCATAATTATCGATAAATACGAAAGGGTTATTTTTAACATTTTTTTCCACAACTTAAAAGTTCAACGCGTATTTTGATAGTTTTGCGTGATTATGACTAAAGTTTATAATGATTATCGTAAAGGAAGATCAAATCGCTAGTTTTTTAAAAATTATATGATGAATAAAATATGATAACGAAATAACACATTTGTTTACAGATTGTGTCGGTTGGAGAAATCATATGGTGTTCGTTGATTCACTTCAGATGAACAACACAACACCTATAATATTATCGTCATGAAGGTCAGCTGAAGTATATTTACTATTTAGCGTATCACAATTATGTTATGAAATTGTTATATGTTATATATAAAGAATACTATGTGGAAGACAATAAATTGTGTAAATAAGGTTCACATGAGTTGGGTGCAGCTGAAAAATATGATACGTATTTTAATATATATATATATAATATACTCGTATATAAAGAGATCGGTAAAATTTTATGATATCAAAAACGTGTTATGATGGGCGTCTAAAATGACAAGGATGGATATTATTACAGGTTGAGACAAACCTGGATGCGTGCTTGTGTAATATGCATTAGGAGTGATTTTATATTAGACATGTTACTTGTTAGGGAATGTGTATATTACATATTGTTCAACAGTTGAAATCAAAGGTTAAAAGGTTCTAAACCTATCATTATTATTATATTATTTCATTAAAATACAAAAAAGTATAACAGTAATATGAATAGATATTGTAGTTGTTGAAACTTGGTGGTAATAATGTCTGCTGATATGTTTAGTTTTTTTAAAGAAACTGTAAAATATATACCAAATAAATTAAAACGTTCATGCATTATTAGTTATTACTTATTTGTTTATGAATAAATTTAGTATAGTAATATAGACGAAATAGATATATGATTAATAAGCTATATATACGCTATATGATTAATGTACAGGAGTGTATTACAATACCGTATTTTGAGATGGGACTCCATTAAGTAACGAGATATTAAAATCACTGTTATTTTCAATGTCGAAAATACATACCTATAGACAGTATTTACTTTGTTGCAGGGATTTCTTTAGGCTACAGGCGTTAATTTAATTAAACTTATTAACGAGATTTGTATATAAATGTCTATTAAATTGAAAAAAAAAAATGTAAATAGGGACTTTAAATCTTAAATCCTTTAGCCTTGCTTCTCTTCGGACAATGCGGTAACATAATTTATAAATATAATCATATTAATTTAAGTATAAATTCTAAGTTTGTTCATTGTTCATTATGCATGTATGGTGCCTGAAAATAATTGGGTTTAACCAAAAGCCGTATACGCTATTTAAGTTGATTCATTCGTATTTCATTAAAAAGCAGTTGCACTTGAAGCATCAGTAATTTCAGTTAAATTAAATGATAAGGATCTCATGTTGAGTTACTGCCTGTCGCAATAAATATTATGAAAGTATAACCGGACTAAATCTGAAATATTAACCAAATTGTGCCAATCATAATTTTGAAAGAGTGTACAAATACAATTAATTAACTTAT